CTCAGCAGTGCGAGCCCGCGACCCCACCAGAGACAGAACCCTGGACCTTGGGTTCGGTGGCCAGCATATTACCAGTGGTCCATGTTTCCTACTTCTATCAGTTCACGATAAAGTGCTATCCAGTGCTCCCAAGTTTCTCAAGTGGTGTCAACCATGATGAGTACCAACCTGAAATCAATAAACAAGTCCCCACAAACTTCCACATTGATATCTAAATATTTCACATAATATCAGAATGAGCATTAAAACTGGAAGAAATTGATGTTATCATCCAAGAAATATGCAGAGTAAAATAGCGAAAATGTATTTTGAACATCTTCACCACTAGGTAAAAATAATCGATCAGCGTTGAAAATTTGTTTAAAAGTCGCACAGTTACCTCATAAAAACTATGCAAAAAAAGTGTTATTAAACCTCGTAGTTTCGGAGAAAGCTGTCGAAGGACTGAAAAGTATAATCTTCCAGAAAATAAACTAAGGAGGCCATTGAATAAAAAGGAAAACTGAAAACACTATTGTCAACATTGCTATCGGATTACCCTTGAAGTTCAAGTCAGTTAGTAACAACACAAGGCATAACTGCTAAACCAGGTTAACGTTATGATACCTCAAAATTAGCAAATCAAGAAGTTGAATGACAAGAGAATTTAAATAACATAATGAAAACCCATAAGATGAAAAGATGTATAGACACATAAGCACAACTCCGATTCAATACAGGCCATATGTCATCTACACTCTTCTATTAAAGTTTTCAGCTGGTACGTAATCCCCAACCAGAAAGTCTGTTTCCCTACACGGTTTAGATCAACAGTCAGGGAATTCATGAAGTGATGCCTGTACCAATCTAACCACCTTCAACGTGTCAATAAACGTTCGCAAATCAACTGACGCTCCTCTTTTAAACCCATGAACCTACAACTAACCTCTACATTACCAGAGTGGTGATTTATGACATACGGCGTATACTGCAAAGGTTACGGTGGTAGAACATATCCTCTAACTTTAATGCCTGTGTTTTACAGTAATATGGTAAAACAAGAAGAACTGCAACGCAGTACGTTGCGCTTGTGATAGGCAATGGACGTCTTGCAGGCGCCATAGTTGGCATGATTTGACAAAAGCCAACCGAACTTCTTTTATCCATTCAGATATTTCGTCACTCACTGACACACTAAGGCTGATTCGACTTCTCAGGTAAATGAAGTCGTCATCGTATTGACGTAAACAAACTCTGAAGCACCCATTCGCATTTAAGAGATGAAAAATGCATCTCGAACACTCTCAGATTGTCACTTAAAACGTTCAAAAGACTGCATCTTGTCAGCGTCTTCATTCAACAAGACAGCGTTGCTTGCATACTATAGGTCGATCCATCCAAAGTCAGATTAAGAGATGGAAGCATTTATAAGCAGGTCTACGACAAAATTAGACAGAAGTGAAGAGTTTGTGCGGTATGAAGATTGTAATTACGCGGGAGTTCAAGTTTTCTCATACGGCATCGTTCAGAATAATTAAATTTCCTACTAATACTGATAATTAACATCTAGTTCATCACAGAACAGACCACAGAATGCCAATCAACTCTCTTCAACCCAACCTCATCCAATTTGAACAGGCCTTCAAAAACCTTGACCGACAAGTAATTTGGAAACTGCTGCTTAAACACTACGGTTTCACCGCCACAAACATTTATCAACCTCAGTCAACAGCTACATGCTATATGACGACGCTACATACCAAGTGATTCACAATACAAAGCTCAGTGATGCCTCTCAAGTGAAGACAGAAATAAAACAACGTCACCACCTACTATCATCGACGAGCTTCCTCGTTGTGGTCGACTGGTTTATGCAACAAACTGTGATGAGCAAGAAGAGGGGCATACGCTGGCTGCACCAATGAAAAGACCCCACAAGAAGATTTACATCTCGCCAATGATGATTTATCTCTTATGTCTTGTCTCACAAACTCGGAGATCTACAGGCGAAAACTAACAAGTTCGTAGAAGAGGCGAGGCAGAGAAGACGACACTTCCTTCACGTGAACATACAGAAGACAGGTGATGAAGATACCCAACAACAACAACAAACACCATCAAAGGGAGAAATCTAAACGAAGTTGTCTCGTTCACCTATATACCTAGGCAGCATCGTCTCAACTACAGACGGGTGCACACATCAGAATATCAAAGCCGGCATCGGAAAAACAGCAAGACACACCTTCCTGCATTCATCTGAGATCCATGTTGACATCTACTCCACTCCACACCACTCAGTATAAAGCATGAACAACATCCCGATTCTCAACACTAATGTCAATTCACTGCTTGTGTATGGTTCACAAACTTGGTGCCTTACGAAAAACATTTCCAACAAAGTACACGCATACATCACATCAACACCTGCCACCTAAGCTCGCTCACTCCATACTGACACTGAGATCATATAGCCGGAATAATAACAATAAGCAACTCTGGCTGCCTGTCTGGCAACGAACCAACCAACCAACAACCTATCGCCAAACAAATATGTAGAAGATGAAGATCGATTGGACTGAACTGGACATACACTGACAAGACCGTTCGGGGATATCACACCAGGCCAGGCCGTCGAGTGGAACCCAAATGGGAAACGACGAGTTGGGGTCCCAGTTGAGGGTGACATGTAGGAGATCCATGTGAGGAAGAAATGAAAGTTTAGAGCAGTGGTGGGTCCAGGTTAAATAAGAAGACTGCAGAGAAGAGAGTGAAATGGCGACGTGCTACTGAAGCGCTATGTTCGTTCCACTAGGAACCCAAGGACAAATAATAATAATAATACAGCGTTGTAATCGATCCTATATTTCATGATGCAATTTAACCATATAGCTGCCAACAAATAAACAGATCCACGTGGAACCTTGTACAAAACTGCCACTGCTCAAATTGCTACACTTTGTCGTCCACAACTACCCAGAAATCAAACCAATAGACACAGAAAGATGACAAATGACTAACGGTATATGACAAGAGATAGAAAATAACAATGGCTAATAATCTATTCTAAAATTCAAAATGAATGTGAATACCTTTGTGCTACTGTAATCGATTTCAGGACACGTCACTAATATAAAGCAAATTTAACAAAAGAGAAGTCCTACAAAAACTAGTTGTACAATAGAGGAATAAAATTTAGATATTGTGGTAGACTTTAATTCCATTTAATGTGTCACATAGTTAAACAGTATCATTTATCAATGGAAAACATTTCGGATATGATTTAATTTTCATATTCATATTTGCTAACTCTACAACTTTAAGACAGTTCACATAGCCGTAATCTTATCTCCTTCTTTGTGATGACAAGGATAGTGGAATTTTCCGTTTATCTGGGACAGGTGCAGAATAATTTCTTTTGCACCTATCTGGTGTTCATTCGATGAACAAGATTCAGTTACTAATCTCTTCCTCCACTCAGCTAGGTTATTTTTTAATACTGTCACTCTATTCCATCTTGTTGTTTGATTGTGTGCAATTGTATGCATATTTATAGCCGAGCTTTTCTCTAGATTCTTTCCTTATCTTATTATTAAGATCTACTAATCTTGATTTAGCTACATTTCTGTCCTTGGATAGGCTAACTGACCCTGGTCTACTACTTTGACTTCGCAGACATTGCTAATGGTAACCTCATTATTATCCTTAAGCCCATTTTTAATTGCCTCCACACCCAATATCACTGTAATCTACTCGTATATCCTCCAATCTACGCTTTAAAACATAAGAGTTGGTGAGTTGAGATTTTGAATGATTTCTAATAGGGTCTGGTACCATCGCAAAAAGTACTAACTGAGACAGGATTAATTCTTTCCACGGTGATAATTATACAATCTGCCTTCATTAATGTGTACATCTGTAAAAAGAGTATACAGGGGTACCTCCAAGATATCCACCTCTTTAGTGTAAAACCTTCACTCAAAGTCTTACCCACCCACCAATAGAACTCCTGGTTCATAACACTTATCATAGTGTCAAGCAAGGTATCTTTCAAAAGTGAATAAATATACCACCACCCCCTACATCCATCCAAATTAACATAAGACCAGGCATTACTGCGTAACTCCCCGACTTGCCACACCTCATGTCACTACATCAAGTAAAAACGCAGTCAAGTGGAAGATGAAGAAAAGAAAATCAAGTCGAAAGAAATATAAAGTACTAAAAAAGAGAAAAGAAGAATGACAAAATCGTGAGATTCGGTATAGCGTCGTTAAGGTGAGGATGATGTGTGCGTACATCTGCGCCACTGACATAGGTTCTCAGCCGTATCATCTAGAGTCTCTAACCGCTGGTTCCTCGCATCGCCCCACATGGCTCAAACTAACAGTCAGAGACTTCATACATTGATGCCATGTTTTAGTCTGGCCACCTCACGCCTTTTCCAGCCTAACCCTACTTCGGCCAACATTGTATGACGAGGCAATCGGTGACTAGACATACGTAACACGTGTCCCAATCATCTCAGCCGATGAAGGTTCGTCAACTGACTTCCCTCTTCTAAACCTGACTTCTGCATTACTCACATGGTAACACCACGGAATACGGCCTATACTACGAAGGCAACGGTGGTCAAACACCTGAAGCCTTCTCATGTCTTCCACCTTCAATGACCATGTTTCACAGCCATACAGTACACGCGACCCTTAATAGACAAATGGATATCACGGCGGCGCCATAGGTGGCGTAAATTGGCAAAAGCCAGCCGCGCCTTTTGTATCCGTGCAGAGATTTCATCGGCCACTGACTCACCAGGGTGTATCCTACTTCCCAGGTAAGTTAAGTGGTCAACACACAGCTAATAAAAAACTCTCTATTGTTAGCCGAGGCACCGTTGATGACCAATCCTGGAGCAACAACTTGCAAAGTGAGGCGCTGGCATAAGAATGTCAAGTGGAAATATTTAAAGAAAAAAAAAGTCGTGAACTATATTCTGAAGTATATCATAACAAATATCTGCTTACTTGTCGATGAGATATTTCCTCAATTGTTCCATAATATCTGTAGCTTGACGATGATAATCAGCTTGTGCTGTTATAAACTCGGTTAAGGCTTGCACTTGATCAATCTACAGAATGAAGTATGTAAAAAAAAGTGCAGAAAAAATAATAAAATAAGATAAAAACGTACATGATGAGATAGGTTATAAGATAACTGACAGTTTGGATCGAATGATCAATACAAAACTATGAAACACTACCAATGTATCCAGCATAAACTTCATAGTGCAAGACATCATCATCGTCAATCAGTCTAGTATATGAAATGTTGCTATTTAAGGTATTTATTACATTGATATTTGAACGGTACGCCATCAACTGTTACAATAGTAGTAGACTGACAAATCATTTCACCTAACATTGAACGAAACGCAATCAGCCACCTTGTACACATTAGTACAGTAAGCAGTGAACCATAACATATTGTGTGAAGGCTAATGATACTACCTGGTTGCCCTAACCTCGAGAAGTCAAGCGGGGCTCAAACTCGTGATCCATTGGTTGAAAGTCATCTTCTTAAACCACTGAGCCACAGCTCCTAACATCAGATATTCCTGACAAACAAAATGATATCTCCTCAAAAAAAAATAATAAAGTGGATATTAAAAGTTTATATGTGTGTATTATGCACAGGATTGAGAATAAATCTACTATACAGTTTATTATAAAGTAATGAATGCAAGAGAAACATATAAAGATGACAGTTGTACAAATTAGGGAGCTGGATACACGACTTAAACGCCTACATAAGCTTTACCTGAATCGTTAAGAAAATATTCATATGAATGAGAGAGACAGCCTATCAAACATTTGTTACTTACTAGTTATGGATAGTGGTTAGCAGTGGAATCCAGAACGCGCTTTCCGTCCTATTTCGAAATGGTCAGCTGGATGTACCTGCCTCCCAGTGAGCGATGTTGTCCCCACTCGAACTCGGGGTCGATCGCTTCAAACACCAGAGCGTTATCTACGAAACCACCGAGTTACGATAGACACTCCTTGTGAGACGGGTATAGTTTTAATGTTGTTGCTTGTATTATCCCGTCGTTGAGGAGATCGAATTGACCGGTCTCCAGTGTGGATGCCTCGTTATTGCCTGTTTCAATTACATATTAATGATGGACCGATATCGGTTCAGTTCACTCAATGACAGGATTAATACAAACAACAACATTTGTCAATTTAGTTCGCTGGTAGAAGAGTTTGAACAAATAGATCACACATCAGTAAGCAAAACAACAAAAATAAGTTATGATTGGAATCACAACTGCTAAATACAAGTCACTGACATAAGCATACACACCAGTATACGATAAATTTTGTGTAGCTACAACAATAAACAGTCAGTTTCGTTATGCACACAGTTTTCATCGATTTGAAACAGAACAAGGAAATCTGATTAGTTAACTTAGATAATGAGGTGAAAATAAATAATACTACTGGTAGTAGTGGTTGGAGAACCATTGGTAGTCCAGGAGCACTAAACAGCTCTGTTTCGTCCTTTCTTTATTTAACTGATATCAATCCGTGATGAAAGCCACTTTCATCAAATCAACAAATCCCTACAAACCATCAATTGAATAACTTTCCAGTACTCATTAGTAACTTGCTTCGAAATGGACTTCTCAAAGTTCGAATGATAAGTCATGATCTGTGAAATTAATCAACTCAGAAGTGAGGTGAATGCATATAGACGACAATGGATGATGGTCACAAAATGTCGTAAATTGACAGAAGTAGGAAATATTGGACAGCTATGCTCCAACCCCGTAGCTGGATGTCAATGTCACGAGGACTAATGCTCCTGTATTCGACCTTTTTGGGGTTGGGAGTGAACATTTTTAGGGTCCCAAACTAGAATAAAACAGGTGGTTATTGCTCGTAGGAATCCAATGGCTATCCAACTGACGTCCATCCTTGATGAAAACTACTTTTGAATCAATAAATGCACTCAAAACAACGACTGAGATACACTTTAGACAGACAGAAAAAAAAACTACACAATTCCATCGGTTCACATTGCCACACTGTAAGCAAACAGCCAGTGGATAAGACTGATATCAAAGTGTATGGAAGGACAAGGAACTCGAAAATCAAGATCAGTCAAAATATTCAAGCTTTGGAAGACATCAAAATGCGAATACATCGGTGTCATTGTGACATATTTTCAGTCATGCCACCAAGAATCCTCAATGACTGATTCCCATCGTTTTGGAGACCCCGACTAGACAGTCTATATATACCCAGATGGCTCAGACCATCAGTCAATGACTTTACCGACATCTTGGTTTCGCCACTCTTAACCCTCTCCAACTTAATCCAGCTTCTTTTAGCATGGTACGTTGAGGTAAGGTGACTTGGCATACGGAGTACATGTCCGAGTCATTTCAGTCGACTAAGGTTCACAATGTCATTAATCGACTTACCACCTATCTTGCTTAATACCTTGCACCTAGCGTCGACATTCTTCACACAGTGATTCCATCAAACGTGGCCTGTGATCAAGAGCCTATAAGCGCTTCATATGTTCTACTTTCAACAGCCATGTCTAACTAAGAACGGACTGAGACAAAGTACACTCGTCTTTTGGTAGACAGAAGGATATTTCTCTAGTCAACGCCACAGATGATACAAACTGGAAATATCAAACGGTCTTTTCATCTTCCAGCTAACGTTCTGTCAGCAACCAGCTGATTGAAATAAGTGAAGTAGTCGATATATCCCACCCCTTTACTCTCTATCCCTAAGCTGGGAGTATTTACAGACTAGTCCTGGAGCATTATCTTACATTTGACGGGTGCCAGAGAAACGCATGCCAAACATAGTGAGATTTCTGCTCAACGTGTCCAGAAAACTCTGTAGTTTGTTAGCTTGTGTGCCTAGCAGGACAGTGTTGTCTGCGTACTCCAATACATAGGTACCACGAAAATGCCTTACTCTTAATTGATTCGTTTAGTCTGATGACAAAACGCACCAGAAATACTGTAAAACAACTTGCTTACTATGAAGACAGGTCTTACAAGGTGGAAATTAACTAAACTTTAAAAAAAGGTTATTTGTTAACAAGAAGAACATTTTTTTAGGTTCAATCCCTTGTAAAGATGATATGCAGATAATGCATGCGCCAGAGCTATAAAATGTTCATTTGAAAGACAGATCAAGGACACATTACTAGTTGTACCATAAGGAAAATAAGAACGTTAAAATACTCGTATCCATGAAGACGAGTAAAAAGCGTTGCCCCAACCGCGTAGATGAACTCCCTGTTTACATTCATCAATGCATTTTATTATTTAATCCAAGCTTCCTATTATGGATTGAAACGCATATTTTATGATAAACATTTTATATTCGTGTAAGGTTTTATCTTATAATAACGAAATAAATATTTGCCAACTAGTTGTTCCACCTTCTGACATTGGTTTAGTAAAGGAATATGTATCACTAAGTTTGTTCTCATGAGCAGTTATCACTCGGTCGTGCTTTCATTCAACTTCAATCAATACACTTCTTTTCAGAAATATATTTCACTTAAATGTTGTACCACAACAAAACTCTACACTGTTTCGACAATTTTTACGTAATTATGTAGTTTCAATAGGTGCAGCTTACAAGCCAAAAGTTTTTCTAGCATCAATGGTTCATATTTATCTCAACACTCCACCAATACAACGCTCAACCGCTCTTGATGATTTCAATTAATTAAAGGAGGGAAATTACTTCAACTACATATACCTATTCTCTATTATACTTAGAAGTAATCATATTTACCGATTTGATTTGCTCACATCTAAGTATACTCAGTTACATCTTGATTGTATTGAGTTCTCTCAACTGGAGATGGTCTAATGCTGAAGTTTTCACTGTTCTTCTAGATAAAAATCATCAGCACTAACCTCAATACGAAGTAAGCTACCAGGATTTCTCCGTGAATGACTCAGTAGTCTGCCATGATGAAGTGGTTTGATTATTAGTGTCCTGCGATTCTTCTACCACTGACTGTATATATTTTCCTACTTGTCATTTCTCACCCAAATGTCTACAATTGTAGTTGGTTATCATTTTACTTATTGGTTGGTAGATTAGGTCTAATAACTGATTTCTAACTGATCTGAATGTCAAACTTCTAGGAATTATCTGATACTCTTTTTATCATCTTTGCTGAAGATCTCTACATTGTAAGAATCCAATTCACGTCTATATTTGTCCACATGCATTGATATAAGAGAAGAGATATCATGTTGTTTAATATACGAGTGAAACTTGAGCACTGTGTTAGATTGTAATTCCATTTTAGTTTATTTCAACAACAAATTGTGTTCGAAACATCATCCAACAAATGATACTGTTTATATGTGTGAATATGGACAACAAATAATTGAGTGCGTTGATCAATCACAGTCTATTCAATATATTCCGATATTCATCAATCTTTCTGTATGTAGCTGGAGTTTAATGGCTTAGACACCAGCTTATCTCTGCAATGCAGTATGTATTAACATCCTTCACATAATGAATATGACTTGGGACATATGTATTCATGGATAAGATTTCTGAATTGGTGGAGTAGCTTTTTTCCATCTATTCTTTCAATACTAAATGTAAGTGGGTACACAGTGCGGAGGAGTGTCATACTAAGATGGAATAACTATTCAGTGCTCTCATGTTTACAATGTTTCTTCAACTGATATCAATCCATGATAAGTTTTCGTTAACATAGTTGCTAGATGAGTTATATCATGACATATCAAGGCTTTAACAGGAGCATATAGTGATTTGACATAGAAACTTAATGCATTAGACACTCAGGGCATTATGAAATATCTTCCTACAGGATCCTATATTCCTACGCATTACAGATAAAACTTCACTTATGATGAGAGTTTGGATGACGAACAAAAATAATATTACACTTGAAACAGTAGTGCACTGCTGTGGACTGCTACATTTTATAATATTGACAAAGAGAATGAAAACTTTAAAAAAAACACTCTAATAGTAGTTAAAAGTAGAAGACAAGAAGCGATTACAGTGTTTTGATCATACATATCTTCGTAGCATTGGTGAA